CCTCCAACCTAGTAGCGATGGCCTCCAACCTAGAAGCGATGGCTTCCAGCCTACTTGTGGTGGCCGCCAACCTAGAAGCGATGGCCTCCAACCTACTTGTGATGGCCTCCAACCAAGAAGCCTCCACCTAGTAGCTTCCTATACGTTTTATTTTTTCCACATGAAACTTCAGTTTCCATTCTGTGGCATGGGGCCGAAACGTAGGTATTGAACTCACACAGGACTTGGCTTTTGGACCGCGACCACAAGGCCTTCTCTCCCACAATGTGGGCTCTCTCAGAAGGTGGCAACTGGTGGTAATGTGTCAATCATCCCGGTAAACATTGCAAACCATATTTGTCGCCGCAACAAATTATCCTGCATCTTGCATGAAGTTCAATCATCTGCTCTTTGTGCTTTTATTTGTTAGATGTTGTCATCAAGGTCAAAACATGTCGTCAAAACATGTCGAATGTTCTGTCATCTAAGTGGCTTGATCGCTGCCTCGTTGGCTTCGGTGCCAGAGTTGCAAAAGAACGCCTTATGAGATTGGAGCTTCAAAAGCTCGCCACGAGTGTCAGTGTCAGAAGTGTGTCGAACCTGAGATGAGTGTACATTGTAGGTAAGCACTAAAACCGTTTACGAGACCAACACCGACACATGTGCGTAAGGCCTTGTCAGCAAAGGACAGCTCAACCAAGCGTTGGCCCAAACGGATCTGCTCCTCATTCCTAAGCCGATGGAGGGCCATGGATAGAATATTAAGCAGCCAGGTCTCATGAGATGAGCCATGGTCCAATGTTCTCTGCCAGAGTACAGATTTCTCACCATTACTATATATAGCTAGTCACTAGCTGCTAGTGGTTAAGCAAAACGATCTGAAACTGATGCGACCACCACAACAGCCGAGGATCAAGTAAAGGTTGGAAGTGTGGCACAACTTGCTGGCTTGCTCCGCTACTGTTTGGGCCCAACCTTCATCACTGTGGCCCAAGCAATTCACTGCAATGCCTGCTGTAAAATCCAAGAAGGACTCACCATCGTTGTCCTGCAAAAATTGTTCGACCACCCGAGGCTTCTGTATGCAGATGCATTGTAGATACCAGAGTTTCAGATCGGTATATTAACGAATGATAGTTTCAGCTCGGGCCTTGAGGATATGGCCTTGACCTTCTCGGAAAATCATCTGCCGCTCGCCGTAGTTGTTCAACAAATTCCTCCCATCTCCAGGTTCAAGGGCAGAATCAACTCAACTTGTTGTCAAAAACAACTGACATCCATGCTGAAGGCCTTGAAACTGTTGAAACATATCGGACAAGAACATTAAGATGTCGCGGGACATCATATCGCTGAAACCCTTGAAGACATTGGGCATGCGGCATACTTAAGAAACTTACAGTAAAGAATGAGAGCTGTCAGAGTTGGCCCCAAAAGCGCAGCTTGTTCTGCAAATCGAGGCACGCTTTGGCGAGCTCCCGCAGCTCTGAAGAGGTGGCTCGGAGGTTTCGAGCCTTTCAATCCAATTTGCATCTCGAAGAAGTGAAGAATGGACGAAACATGTTGAGTAAGAAACGCAAGACGTTGGAAATGTATCTCAGCATACAAAGTGAACATCCGAAAGCACAGAAGAGCACAGCAAGCACACAGCAAAGCCAAAGCCAAACAAATCGCCTTTCGTCGCACCTGACGCACTGCCAGTGGCACCGCGAGCGCCGCGGCACCAGAGGCGCCTCGCAGCGGTGCGGCGCTGTGTGGCCTCGCACGGTCCGGGGCGTGGCCTCTCGACTTGTGTCTTCGAGTTCCTAGTAGCTTATTGCTCCTAGTAGCGAGGCCCTTGCTCCTACAAGTAGTAGCCTCTTGTTCCTAATAGCGATGGCCTCCAAGTTGAAGATTCTGAAGATTCACACGGTTTTGGCCATAAAACCAGCAAAACCATGCACTTCATACTGTTTCCTGGCTGCACCTTGCGCTGGATCTGCTCAGAGCAGTGGGTGGGGCGCATGGCTGCGCAGGGTTGTAGGTTGAAAGCATGGCTCAAGTCTGGTCACAGGGTCCCCCCGTGGCAACTGAAACGGCTGAAAGGATCACAGTCATCAAGGAAGCACAAAGGAACGTAAGAAACGTTGGACTTGCTCGACATCCTTTTCATTCAGTCTTGAAGTTGGGAAAAACATGATCCTGGTGCCGGACCAACACGTTGGCAAAAAACGTAGCTGAAATAGTATGGTGTCTTTTTTGTTCCTTCCTGATTGATTTTGAACCCCAAACTCCATGTACAGCAACTAAAGGAAGCTGGCATAGGTTGGCCTTTGACCTGATTAGCAAAGTGTTAAACATGAAGTGCTACAGTAGTTACCTCTTATTTCAATCTGACATGATCACCATGCTCTGGCCTGCCAAAGACTCAATGGATGAATTGACACCAAAAGCCTCCCCAAAAAAAGCGATCGTCTTTGATCGGCTCTCTCTCTCTCTCTCACCTCTCACCTTGAAGCTACTAGGAACAAGTGCATCGCTACTAGTAACAAGCGCCTTACTAGTAGTAACAAGAAGCTATTAGAAACCATTTTCAAGCCCCATCTCTCTCTCTCTCTCTCTCACCTCTCCATTCCGAATTTCAACAAGCAATTCGACTCCGACCGGAATTCCAACGACTTGAAGCCTGGACAGATTGAATACGGAATTGAGCATCAAAACACAAGTTTAACGCCCTATGCGGCAGTAGATACCTCAGTAGGTTTCACCTGCACACTTCTGTACACTTCCTGGTGCAAGGAGGCTCGGACGAGCATGTTCAAGCATTTTCGTTCGCCCCATCTTCCACAGGAGCCCCAGCAGGACGCCGCGAGGTCTCAATGCTCGCCGCACGGTGACCAACGCCCGCAGAGCCAAACCAAGCCTCGGAACAGAGAAACACAGAAACACGTGGGCAACGACAAAACATGCTGGGTTTCTGGGAAAATTGATGAAAACACGGAAGCACGGCACAAGATATGACGTCACCAATATGTTCGCAGTGCTTCTGTTTCTATTCGCTAATGACGTATAATCCAAAACAGGACAATGTCCAGGCAAGGCAATCGAAGCAAAACCATTCATTTTGATGCACACGTGAACAGACTCAATACGATGCTGCTCAAAGAACCACATGCAGCACATGCTCTCGCCAGGAAGTTGCAAGAGTCGAATCAAAAAGATAAGAACTCGAGAGGGGGCGAGAGAGGGAAGGAATCTGTCTGTGATTGACATGAACAAAACAACATGACATGTTTGGCCATGATTCATCTGACTTTGACTTCGATTCTGTGGTAGGCTCACTTTGCCAAGGCACTCGCCACAAAGTAAATAGTCCATGGTGCCTTTGTCCACAGCCTAAGGCGTGGGAAAACGTCACACTGTGCGGCGCTGGACGAGGCGCGGCTCGAGTCCTCCGAGGTCCTGACGAAATCAAAGCGCTCTTCTCCCAAAGAATGCCTCGCGCGTCGTCAACGGGGGGGGTAAGGCCGTGAAGTAGGCAGGTATAGCTAGTACAGCTAGTAGTTATCGGTAGCTACTAACTAGGACGCATAAATACTTCACGCGTGCGCTGTTCATTTGGTTCCTAGATGTTTAGGGAAACTTAACTTAACAGTCCCAGTGGTTCATGTTCATGTGTTGGCTTCATTTCGTCTCTCAACCCCCACAATGTGCCAAGCGAATGACACAAAAATACGAAGAATAGGCTCACCCCTCATGGGTTGTAGCGCTTGCATGTCCTGCATGAGCAGATCATGAGCCTCGTCACGTCAACTTCTTCGAACACCAGTCCTGGATCTTTTGATAAACCAACAACTGCTATGCCAGTGAACTTGCCTTCCATATCTCTCTGTTTCAAAACCGTATCGTGTCGTATCGATAATATTGCAAACCGAAAAGTGGCATCATGCAATTGCAAGCAGAGAGGCTGAGCAGGTCAGCTAGAATCCACTAGTTCTACCCTAAGAATGTTCTGATAGGAAATCGATGCCAGCGTTTAGACAAAGTTGCAAAGAGAACGCTTTCTAAACATGACCGATTACCCCACAAAGAAAAACACTAGTTCAGAAGATTTGGAGATGAAGCTACTAGGAACAAAGGACGCTACTAGGGGCTCCTGGCCGTACTACTAGGAGCAAGAACGCTACTGGGGGCTCCTGTATGACACAGTCCCTTATCCGACCGGTGGCTGAGTCAGCCGAGTCCGTCATGGGTGGCATGGAGCTCGTTCTGTGAAGAAATCACCGCCTGGGATGTGATCTTGTTGCAATTTGGCTCGTGCAACAATCAGGTTGAATCGCCTAGCAGCTGGCTACTCACCCAGGTCTACACTCAGGTTCCTGATACTAAAACCGATCACATGAATGTCTGGGCTCCCAAGCAGCATCCACATCGACTGCAACTACCCTGTGGCCGTGGTTCAGTCTTTGAAGCCTAGGGTTTTTGTGGTAGACCCGTAAAAACAATGAAGGAACATTAAGATAAAAACAATATACTGGTGATGTTTTGTCTAAATTATTATATACAGTATTTAAACATATGCAAAAAAATACAACAAAGCATTCAAAACAAGATGCGCATACATACGTCGGAAAGGCAAACTGCTAAGATCGCAGGACACTCTTGTGGGACATTCTTGTAGGCCACTTCAGTCGTGCACGCCAAAAGTAACCCGTCAATGTTTCAAAGCAACCACTTCTGATAAGACTTCCTCCATAAGTGAAGCGGGATGTCTCACCAAAGCGAAGACATCACACAGCCGTGGCAAGAAGTTTCGTATCCAAGCCCCTTCAACGAGCGACCGCTGACGCGACAATCACCTGCACCAAACGTCGCGACGTCCGTTCCCTGCATCTGTCATGCAAACAGCTCACCAGCTCCAACATGCACAGAGTATTGCGCCCGCAACAAACATAAAGCCACACCTTCACATATCTTCACTGCGACACGTTTGGGGCTTCGACACAGTGCTTTGTCCGAGACTTGTCAAACCGAGCTTCAAATAGAACAGCGCTCCAAGAAACACTTGCGTTTCTGCCGAACGGAACAAGCACGCTACGAACGGAGCATTTCGGGCATCGCTACGAACGGGGGCGACCCTGGCCTTACTACGAACACTTCATGCTTCCATCCAAGACCTCCTCCATCAGCTTCCCCCCAACGGGAGGGCTTTTGGTTCACACGGCAGAGGGTTGCAAAAAAGGTCGTGAACGTGAAACAAACGTCACGCGAACAAGCTACTTGTACCCCCAGACCCCCAAAGTTAAACGAGAACCTTTCGCTAACTTTGAACGAGAAAAGGGAAAACGAAAAGCAACTTCTGTAGCCTGGTCAACCAGTCGCAGACCGACCTCCTCTCTCCGTTCTTCCAAAGCGCGAATGGAAGGCTCGATGTGCCACAACCCACGTCAAGCCTTGCAACGCAGCTGAGTCAACAACTCAGCTGAGTCTCAGAGTATGATCTCCGTCCTCGGAGTTGTTCGAACAAATAATCACTGTTGGATGCCAAGAGACACATCCAGCTGATCCTGGCAATTTTATCTCACACTAAGTCTAGTGTAATGAGTCAGTTCTATTTCAAGGCGTTCAAGCAAGGGAAAGAAACATCGACCCTTTAGCAATGCAGCATCAAAAAAGCACCAACATGTCAAAGATGCCATGTTTACGCACACAAATTCACACAACGACGCCTTGCTTGTAGTCGAGGCCAGGGCTGCCTGTGCACGGTGACCCATCTCTTCATTTCTGTGCAATGGTTTCAAAACGGTTGTCCGTCAATGTGTGACTCAATCGGGTTTTACTTGTCGCTCCCTCTGACAAAAAGTGTCCTCGCCTCCAAAATGGGCGCCAATGTCTCATGATCTTCGCACCAGTCCTTGGGTCTGTCGAAGATCATGCTGAGACTGCCACAGCGTGCAGGCGCGACAAAGTCAGCAGGTGTGTCTTTAGGAAGCTGACTTGAAGAACGGACAAAACTCGTGGAGACATCTTCTCACCAAAATATCGACCAAAAGCTTGAAGAGCTGCTATGGCATGTCACTATCATGTCTTCTTCTGACGTTGACCATCACGCACATAGCTTGTGGAAGAAAAAGGTCTATTTTGACATCACCCAGCTTTGTATTTGCAAGACAAAGTGGAAGTGTACGGGTACCTGTCCTGAATATCCTGATGTTTCATGTGTTTCAATTACATCGCCCAGCTGCGAACATGTTGCGGCCATCTGATAGACACGAAGGCTGAAGCAAATGTCTGTTGTGCTGTGGCTGGGCTGCGTTTCCTTTTGTCTCACTGGCACTGCTTGAAATGGATCAGTTTGACTTTGGCTTCTGAGCTGTACTCTCAAAGCATCCTTGCTGAATTTGTGCCAAAATGCAAAGAGCATAGAAACTAGTAGGAAAGAAGGATAAACACATCAAGATCATTCAGATTATGTTGCCCACCAAAACAAAATCCTTGAGCGTTCCCACCCTGCTCCGGATGTTTTCTCCCTCTTGCAGCGGGACTTCCCTTGGCATTTGGTCCTGGAAAACCTGCAATGACCGGCCATTGGGAGGTCCAACAAACTCGACGGAGCAGTTGAGCTGAGATGAAAAAGAAGGAAACGCTTTGATGAACTTGTAGCACTTGGAGAATTGAGACTTGGCTAGACGTGGGTGGGGGGCAGTGGCGCCGATCTGTCGAGCTCAATCTCTCCGGAACTCAGCGCGTCGCCCCCTTTCGCTCTCAAAGGCAGGAGACCACTCCTAAGACCTGAGGGAAGCACGTGAAACTTGACTAAGTGAGCATTCTCAGCAGCTCCAAACTTCCAAGTGCTGTACATACTACGAGACTTGGGAAGAAATTTGTGCTAAAACAAATCTTTCTCGGAGTGGGGGATCTTGACTAAATGATGCTCAGACATGTGATATATATATATAGATAGAGAAAGAGACCTCCCAACCTTGATGGTATCTGGGGTCCACACAGCTCCTGCTACGCCCATAGCCACCAGGGAGGCATAAAGCAGCTGCCTCCAGGTGCCGTGAGATGTGCTCAGCGACAGCCGAAAGCAAGTGCTCCATTTTTCGAAAGACGGTGACCGAACAATTGTCATCGCCCTGGTGACCTTGACTGGCGTTGCTCACATAACTGCGAACTCGTCCTTCAGTGTACCGGTGACCAAAACAAACGATGTCCACGGTCCAACCAATCGAGAGAAGGACAAAAGGGAGTTCAAGTAAGTGAATTCAAGTGGTCGAAAAGAAGGGAAGGACCGAAAAGGATCTCCGCGCATCGCTACTAGTAACAAGGCACCTTACTACTAGAAGCAAGAAGCTACTAGTAGCAAGTGCCA